TCGAAACATTAAATTGAATCACAGTTTATTCGATAATCAGGTTGCAACTCACTACACAAACGTACAGTTAAAGTCCTAATAGAAAGTTGTGATTTCAAAATTTAACTAAACTGAGTTGAATTATTATTTGCTGTTGGTGTTAAAAGACAGTTCTATCATGTAATAAAATGGTAAGAATTTGGATCCCAACCAGGCAGTTAAGAAGTTATCACCTTTTCAAGTAAAATCAACCTCTTGATTTCGATTTCGGGTGAATAATCACCTTGGAATGACATCAGTTGGAGAACCACTTAAAATTCAACGGCGCTGGACAACTGTTTCGTCCTGGTATGAGACTCTTCAGCAGTGAGGGTCCAAGACTTCTCTCTCCAGAAATCGAACCCAGGACCTTTGGATTATGGGGTCAGCACGTTATCCTTCAGCTACTGGGTTAGAATCCAGTCGCCTACATTTTTCTACAGATGTCAGTTCATGATATAATGCGATCTCCATCCAATGCCATCGTCGAGTAACTGTCCTCACGTTCTACTTAGTTCTCCCCTACTGGTCACGACTTTTCTTCGGAACTCCCGGACTCTCTCTCAGAAGTAGGTCGTTAATGAACAGTGGACAGTACTTCAGTTTAGAGGATTGAAGGGATTTACGTATTGATTTCAAGTTGGTATTGATTACGGAAGGACATCAATTGGTTCTCGAGAAAGTTGAAATGATAAACTGACGAGTAGTTTATACCTAGAGTGAAATAACTATTTACCTTCCATAAATTTCAAGAGCTCCTCTTACTAACATCAATGAGTAGTGAAAACTGTCTTCATCGTTATAATTTATTACATAAGGCTTTTATCATATTATGGTATAAAAATAGGGAGGAACATGTTTGAATCTCGACATTCAACCATAGAGAAGGAATGATCTGGAAGTATAAGTGAAACTGATGATTGATTGGCTCCTAGAAGTGTAATTGTTGACCAAAAAGATTCACCAACAATATATCCCTAATTTTTCAATTCTGTATGCCTAGATGAACTCAAAATCCTTCCTAAACACTCCGCAGTTGCTGATTCAGCTATATAAAGTGTAGGTAATGAGTCTATGAAGAGATGGAGGTAATGGTGTGCGAATTCACTTCTCTTATCTGTCTCCAATGGGAAGTATGTTGGATCTCTACCTTCCTCATAGGTTTAGCAAAAAGGTTTAAGATTCCCCTGCTCTCTCGGGCCTTTGCTAAGAATTTCACTTGCTGACAGTTAGTAATACACAGATTAGTTTAATTCAACAAAGCGTTAATTCCTTTGTCATAAGACTGGCAGCAAAAATGAAATCAGAAAGTTAGTTGGTTGGAGACAGTTGATAGGAAGCCTTACTTGGCCTAGGTTTCGTGCTTTTTGACACTCGTCAACAAGGCATATCTGCAATCTCGACCGAACTGATGTCCCTTGTGAAATTCTAACGCATGTTAGCGACGTTACCACTGAGTTATTCGGGATGCAATTGAAAAATCAAGTATTTAGATGTAAAAATATCTTTACAGCTTTAACCTTCGAATGAACACTATCCTTCCAGAGGCGATCGACAGTTTCAGTTCACGTGAAGGAATAGACCAAGAATAACATATCATTTTGAAGACCATGTATGTATATTTAAACAGACTGTGAGTTATAAAAATTATATGAGAAGTAATCACGTCACCTGGTTGCGTAAACCTTTGTGAGTATAATAGAATTCAAATATGTGACCCAGTGATTGTAAAACAAGTGTCTATTCAACTGAGCCAGGGCATCACACACATTGGTTATTTTGGTTTACAGTATTCACTGAAGAATTGACAAATCAGAATTCTTTAACCAAAGCCATACAGTTTTTTCAAAAATATAAGATATGAAAGTGGTAGAAATCAATGATCAGTCGTGAAAGCAACTCGATCAAATGATACGACGTTAAGGTCATGTCCATTACACAAATGACCCTCCAGTTATTATTAGACGCTTCTTATGTGGTTACATTTAACCCAACAACCAGAACACTGCAATGAATTGCTTCTCAGACTGACTCTTAATGAACTTTTCAGATTCAGAAAGGAGTTCTGCATGTAGAAGAATGAAACGACGACGGAATCTCTTTACTGTTCACTTTCAGTCGGCTGTTTAATAGTTTGTCTTAGAAACTGGATCCTCAGCTCATTGCTTAGCCAAACCAGTTTGTAATAAAGGTACCCTAGTGATATACTGGATAAGGAATTGTGCCTGAAACGCGTCAACCATTCAGCCACTGGGTCTGCTAATTCACAGTATCGCGGGATTACCCACCGAGGTCTTCAGTTTACATCTGCTTCACTTCTAACTGGTTGACCCCACAGGTCACGGCTTCTTTTTCGAACTTCGGGATATCGAAGCATATCACTAATGAGCACTATACAGTAATGTATTTTGACGCCAATGGGAATTTTATTTTTACGGATAATTCTACTTTATGACCATTCCACAGGAACCCAGTGTGCATCAGACTACTTACCAGCTAACAAAATTATGTCCTCTTCATTCAGAAGTTAAACATCTTGCGTTTATCTTGCTCACTTATCCAAAAGATTTGATGTCTACATGACCTGCAAATAGTACTAATTAATTCTAATATGCAGAAGGGCTAGAAATACAACGAGTATCAAGTGCCTGAAAAACTCATTCTCATAAATATGAAATTTACAAAAAACACTTGAAATTCCCCTCCTAAGAACTACAAAGAAAACAGAACTACAAGTGAACACAAATCCTCAAACAAAAGTTGAAGTCCTGAACGCCATAAAGCTGCCGAAATGCGGGAAAGCAGCAGGATCAGATAGAATCCTGCAGAGACAACAGCCGACATGCTCACACTACTATTGTAGAAGATCTGGAAGGAAGGGAAGGTACCTGTTTATTGATTAGAAGAAGGGATTCATTGTCAAACTCCCAAAGCAGGGAGACCTAAGTCTTTGCAAGAACTGGCGAGGAATCACGCTCCTGCCTCTATCCCCTCCAAACAAAATATTAACCCGTATCATCCTGAGGCGAATAAAGGATGCACCGGATTCAAAACTACGACCGGAACAGGCTCGATTCAGGAAGTACAAATCATTTGCGGGCCAAATTGCAACGCTTCGCATCATCATAGAACAGAGTATAGGATGGCAGTCAACTCAACTCCACCTCAACTTCATCCACTTTGAGAAGGCCTTTGACAGCGTCGACCGAGAAGTAATTTGGAAACTGCTTCACTACTACGGAATACCACAAACCTTTATCAACCTCATTCAACAACTATATGAAGATTCCACATGCCAGCCAAGTAATTCACATAGGGAAGCTCAGTGATGCCTTTGCAGCGGAGTGAAGACAGGAGTGAAACGAGGCTACTGCCTACTATCCCCCATTATATTCCTGATTGTAGTGGTCTAGATCATGCAACAAAGTGTGAGGAGCGAAAGGAAGGGGATACGCTGGACCGGGGAAAAGAACCTAGAAGATTTGGATTTAGCAGATGACTTGTCTCTAATGTCACACAAACCTGAAGATATACAGGCGAGGCGAGGCAGGGCAGCGAAGGAAGACGGGACTTCAAGTGGACGTAGAGAAGACAGAGCTGATGAAGATACCCAACCAACGCCACCACCACCAACGACAAGCTCCAGTTATCATCAACGGGAGAAACCTAAAGGAAGTAGCCTCTTTCACTTACCTAGTCAGCACTGTTTCAACTACAGGCGGCACAGACGAAGACGTCAAAGCCAGCCAGGATCGGAAATACAGCAAGATAGGCGTTCATCAACCTGAAACCAGTGTGGAGATATGCACTCAGAGTAAAGCGTGAAAAAGATGTGGATTTTCAACACCAACGTCAAGTCAGTGCTTCTATGTGATGGTTGAGAGACTTGGCGCGTTACGAAAGGAATTTCCAACAAACTACAGACATTCATCGACAACTGCCACCTAAGCTGGCTCGTTAGTGAAGATCAGATGGCTAGAATAATAAGAAAAAGCAATAGGGAACTCTGGCCGGGTAACGAACCAACCAAGAAGCTATCACTCAACAAATATGCAGAAGGAAGTGGAGATGGATTGGGCATGTAATGATAAGACCGACTGCGGACATCACGCGCCAGTCCAGGCACTCAAGTGGGACCCAGATGGGAAGCGACGAGTTGGGGGTCCGAGATGAGGGTGACATGGAGGAGATCGTGTGAGGAAGAAATGAGAGCTTCTGGGCTGTCGTGGAGCCAGGTTCAAAAGATTGCAGAGAACAGAGCGCACTGGAGACGTGCTACTGAAGCCCTATTTTCCATTGGGAACCCAAGGCACAAATAATAATAATATAATTCTGTAAAATGACTAGGTGACACACTGTTACTGAATGATGACTGTGAACCTTCATCTGCTTAGGTAGCTGGGACACTTATTGTGCATACGTAGTCACCGTCGTTCAATGACAGCTGAAGTAGATTCAAGCTGGAAAAAGATTCGAAATAGTCAGACTAAAACATGGCATCATTGCATAAGATCTTCGATTGTTATTATGAAGCGTGTAGGAGAATGTAAACTTCCACGTTGGGATCCATGCGATAACAGAAACTACTGGTTGGAGGCTTTAAATGACGTAGCTGAGAATCGATGTCAGTAGCGAAGATGTATCTCCATACTTTATCCTCATCTTAAGCGCCATATTGAATTTATTACTTTTCTGATTCCTCCTTCCTCGCTTTTACTGCTTTCCATTGATTTTGATGTAATCTTTTACCTGATCACTTTACTGCTTCATGTGCTATTTTAAGGTGCGACAACTTCGACCGTCCTACATTAATGCTGGATCCTATGTTGATATCGATGATGATATATTCGAAGGATATGTAACTAGAAAATAAAACACTAAGGATATACGCGGTGTTGTATAATTATGCTTAATACTTCTGCGAAATTCAAATCAATATATATGAGACTATTATATATCACTAGGAGAAGGGGAACACTCACCGGATATATTTCAGTGTAACATTTGGCATCTAATCTATTCACATCTTTATCCATGGACAACTTAGTAGAATCATAACTTATCGTCACATGGTGCTTTATACACGAAACAAAATGTCGTTCATTTAAATTCATATTTTTAATATGATCAATAATAAATGGTTGATCATCAAAGTGTTTATCATCATTATCATATTCTATTGGTTCTTCTTGACAACTTTTTCTTGCCTCTGAAATATAAGCTCCATTTCTATACACTGGTCTACCATTTTGTGTCTTAATGTATGTGTATTGATTGAATTTTCGATTATCAACTGCTCGACAGCGATAATCTAGTGAATCTAATGAACAGACTGAGTCCAATTCCATAGAATGGATGTATAATTGCTCTTGGAAGTTATAAGGTTGAGTAATTATAGCCAATCGAGTTTTAGATCCAAATAGACTCGAAGTGAAGAAAATACTATTATTATTATTATTACTAGTGGTAAAATCAAAGGTTTTAGTTTGTTGTAACTGTTTGAAGTGATTAATATCGGCACGTTTTGTTTTTAAGACTTCGTATTTACTAGTATTTAGTTGGTTTATATATTCGCCAACTTCACCCAATCGTGTTGATTCAAGCAATTGCGTAGGTGGTGTATTTGTCACAGCCTTGGTTTCTGGTGGTAGTAATAAAAACACTGTCACATTGTGTAGATTGTCTAATTTTATAGGAATAAGAAAACACCAGTTGTACGTCTCTGCACCGGGTACTGTATCATCGTTAGCGTTGGTAGAATATGAATGACCTGATACCCAGCCAATAAGACGTAAACCAGGTCCTAGTTGCATAGGTTTTTCTGACACCATTTGCGTACATTTATCTTCTAGTGAAATGCCAAATCGAAGCTGTTGTCGTAAATCATGCCATAAAATTTTCCAATGTCCTCCATTCTCTGGGACATAACTGTCAATACATATTACTTGATCGATATTTTTTGGTGTAAGTTCAATGCCTAAAATATTTATTGACTCATTATAGTGAAGTACCATTAGTTTGGCTAACAACCTTTCTGAGTGGACATTTGTATGTTCATTGGCACCGGACAATGCATGGTCAGGAATTTTAAGCCAATAATACCTCTTGACAATTTGTGTAGATTCCACAAAGTTTGAATCGTACCACCAGAAAGTGCCAGGTATATGTGAGACTATAGCATCAAGATTTAATTCCAAGCTAAAATCATTAGTATGATTTTTCTTGTCATTGTATCTCACTTGAATTCTCTGCATTTCGTAGTAATCATTTAGTCTATGATGAGATGAATGTATTGATAATACTCAGCATAGTCCATCCGCATGTTTTAAAATGACTGGGATTACAATGCAGAAACGTAGGTGAAATTTCAGTCTTATTTTGGTACTTTATGGTCATGTGAACAATAGGACGTTCGGACATTGGTGAACTGGATTTAACCAATAGGCTGTTGACCAATCAGATTTCGACACGATAGACCAGACAATGGGTTGAAATGATAGCCAACTGTACTTATTTATTATCGGTTGGTCTGCATAACCTTAGTATTAACATTATATTCCGCAAATGTTACGTTTTCATGGTTATTCGCTAGTAGGGTTTTCTGTAGTTCCTTTTATTGAGAAATTTTAAAAATCACCCTGTTGAAATAACCAACTGGGTTTCTTTATTTTCACTGGAAAAGAGGTTTCTTCAGAAAAGTATAAAAATGAATCAGTTATTCTAGCAATTTTTAGAGTGGCTTTTAGGATTACTAAGTGAAATGTAGAATGTTGACTGATAGTTGCGTTTAGTAAGTAAAGCTCTACTGGATTGTTATAACCGTAGTTTTTGCTTCCAAAGAAGGGGGATAAAGAAAAGGCTCGTCAATGTTATAAATTTATCGGTCAGTAAAGGTTGTAAGCCACTTTAACAGACTGCCGTCACAGAGTTAAATCAAATATGAGCTTGCATTGTAGACTTTAATATGTCCAGAAGACAATAAAGTTCATTTTCTGAAGATGTAGTATTACTTCCCCATATAAGTTCACAGGAAATTATCAGTAACCCTAAAAAACGTAAAAATATAGGGCAGCCTGTAATATATTCTATAAGTAGCATTCAGATCCATATAATCTTGTCTAAATTCAGACTGGAAACGTAGTTTCTTCGATAAATAACGAAGCTTAATTGGTTATTTTGGCAATTACTAGGGTAGCCTTCAAAATTACTCGTATATGGAAAATGACCGAAATTCCAAGTTGATGTTGAGGAGGGTTGACACTAATATAGCACACTACTCCATGTCCCAAGGAATTTTGCTGCTGACAGTAAGCTTCTCTTCAAATGGGGATGCAACATGATAAGACTGAAATTCTAAACTACTCATAAATAGGATGTGATTGGCCTCTAACAGATGTCCCTTAACCCCTAGGGCTTACCTTCGTATCCACGCACCTCATGAAGACATCAGTTTTCACGATGTTAGTAGCCAGTGAGCATCACCCTTCCACACAATTCTGATGGTACATAAAACTAGTGAAATTATAACCTGATATTTTTATCTTTATCCCTTTTGACTTCAGGGGATTTTCTTATTGGTAATATTCTACTAGATATAGTTCCCTCACTTGCTTAACTTGTGACCATTGCTAACGACCTAAGTCACCAGGACTTTACGGCTAGTCTCCTAAATTCACACTGTCACTTCGGCTACGATAAACAAAACTTTTAGGCATGTAATACCATTGGGCGACCTCAGTATTTAAGTGTAAGGATGCTCTGTCAGTTAAAACGTCATCTTAGGGACACACAGGGAATCCTATATTGCTCGTGACGTAGCAATCGTATACTGACTTGGCAATGATAGTCGTCTCTTGCAGTTCTGTTTTACCTATGACTTATTCCTGGGAAAAACTAACTTCAAAGATAAGCAAAGACATTATCTCAATCGGCACCTGCCAACATCACTTCAACAGTGGATACATAGAGATCATTTTACCATCAGCCGTCGTTGGAGATAATTAATGGAAAAATAAACACCCTTTTCAGATTCTTTTCTTAATCTCGGATAAAGCTTCATTCCTGACAAGTGTTTGCTTGTTTCTCAGTAGAAGCAAAAAGAAACCAACTGCCAGCCATTTCTTTCTTCAACAGAAGGATAATACCATTAAGATTTATGTATTTATCTGAATATGGTAACACTTCGCATATGCATGAAGCCTACTTCAATATTCAGTCTACTGTAGAAACAACTTAAAAGACAGCTAACAACCTTAAATCGAATGTTGTTAGAATCTAATGAAACTCTACGGCCTCATTCAGTCTGAGGGAAACTAACACTCTGGGCACCGTAGTCACTAGGTATCCGATTAACACTGAACATGAAGCAGACGTTTTCAGTTCCATCAAGATAATAAACAAAGGAACAGGCTCATCTCTCCTGAAGTTTCCTGAGGTCACAGCCATCAAACGCCTTAAACTTGAGTGATGTATTCAAAAAGAAGCTATAGTCAACCTCCTTTTTTTTGTGGTAACCCGTTTGACTATGATTTGGTTGCATCATCCTTTATCGAATTTAGATGTTTGTTCCATTACTTGTATTTAGTTGCATCACCGTTTGTTTATATCGACTGTTTTTCTTAGCTAACTGAGCTTAACTCGCAATATTTCGCTTATTTATAGCATGGTCTGCGTAGTCTGCTTATGTAATCTTATGGTGTTAAGTCTGTCAATATTCTAGTTGCTGCTCTTACCTTTGCTTTTATTCGCGAAACTTCCATCCGGTTATATATAAGATTGTGACAGCTTGTAAGCATTTATTCCCCTTCCCTGAATTTGCCTTTACTCTGTGAATATTTCTTATAGTGGATCCAAGCATATTAAGTTTTCAGTGGAACTATCTATTTTGGCATCGTATGTTGTAAGAATTTGATATCACCGAAATGGAATGGATCTGTTTTATCCAGTGACTTCCATTATTGTTCTTACTGTTTTCAAATTTATTCAGCGTGGTTGATGCAAAGACGTTCTTATCACGATGAGTATTAAGAGTAGCTACCACATAAACTGACGTTTAGTCTTCTTAATGACTTTAATTAGACCCAGGCGACGAGATCGTAAGAGACGGAGAAGGCATCGATGTTTGATACTATTCGGTACTTGTTTGGTCTCATCAGAAAGATAGATTAGAAGAAGAAATGACCAATGAGACTATCATTTAGAAGGATGTTTCCTTGATAAATTCATAGAATAGACAGTTGAAGAACTACGTGAATTACCGAAGAACAATTTAGTTGGTCAACGTTTGCCCCTCAGTAGCCCAATATTCGGCTAGAATGTAAAATGAACCTACATACTGGTCTTCCAACACTAGTTTAAATTGAAACAATAAAAAGCAGCTGATGGTGTTAAGGAATTATTCACTGGAGTAGCTGAGGTACTAGATGGTGTATGGCAATTAACGACAGTCCCTCTAAACTGGGCAGATCACTGGTCATGACAGTTTATGAGAAGGGACGAAAGTCTTCCTTTGACAGTCATATGGAAACAAGTTTGACTAATATGGTATCAAAAATCATAGGATCCTTAGTCATTCGACGCCTAATCGAACCAAAAAGATAACAAACTCAAGAAAAAGGGTCACTTTTCAAACATGGACTAATCTAAATTGATCAGATTTTCACACTTCAGATTCTTACGTAACCCAGGGATATATATATCACCGATCAAAACTAACCATACTTCTGATCTGGAGGCTGCATATTATTCTGTTAACTTAGAGGTGTTGTGGCGGTATCTGAAGAATGTACTAAACTAACAAACTATTCTGGTCGAGACTCTTTTCTGGAACTCATGCATCATTACAAAGGTTTGTGGAAAATTTTCATCTTCACTACCAGCAACCAGTGGTTTTCTTCAGGGATGTTCAATTTAATCATTCTAATTTAACTTTGTCGTAGAATTGCCAATGAATAGTAACCCACCTATTTGCGTTTTCGCAAGGATTCAGTTACTCTCTAGCGAGCGCCTGGTCGACTACTAGTACACATATTGCATAACCGTTTTAAACAAAGACACTGAATACCTTGATTGAGAATCTGAGTGGAGATGACATACTTTTTCATCTCTCAGAATTAAGACTATACTTCACGACTTGTCTGTATCAACTGTAAGAACAAGGCATGAAGTTGCGAAATGCACTAACCACCTACTTGGAAAGATATATCAGCCTCGATAGGCTGGTATCTGGTGAAATCTCAGCTTGGACAAAAGGTGACGGGCTTGGCATTAGCCAACTTACACAGCTTATAGTACCGGCAAGATATCCAACCACATATCTTAGAGCAAGTATAGTGAGCAGCATCACCTTTTCCTAGCTGACCACTATAAAGCATGTTGGCTGGAGGGAGGAAACAAGAGGAGGACACACGCTTTTGACCATAGGTGTCTTCGCAATACTACTATATGATTGATACTAAGGTCGGAAGTAGATCGCTGGGAAAGTAAGGTAGGTCAGTTGATAGATTTGTGAAGTTTCACTAGTGGAAGTGGTCTTTAACATGCGTTGGACGTACTGGACCACCAACTTTCTCTAGCTGCAATGTTATCAAAAAGAGAAATAGGTTGAAAATAGAGCGAAATTAATTAAATCAGGATGTAACATCAGTCCATGAAGTCCCTGGCTGTTAGTGTGAGTTGTACAGAGAGATGTAGACTGTCTTACTAAGCCCCGGATATGATAGTGACCAATGATTGAAGATTCTAAGTGATAGTGCCAAAAATCATATACAACGAATTAAGTGTAGAAACTAATTAGTAATTTCAAGCTGAATTTACTTCATATTGACCCTGGTGACTAGCAGAGGAATACATGATGCGTGTCCTTTCCTATTTGGGACACGTCAGTGAGTGGTGTTTTTCCCAACGAGGCTTGACCCCAGTACCCTCCGCTTTAGACAACAAATGCGTTATCAACTGAGCCACCGGGGTACGATAGCCACCTCTTGAAATTACTATACTAACTGCCATTTGTCTATCCCACCTCTTGACATACACTTTTTTCTACTACAGCATCGCTATTTTGTCTCCCAGCTTCGTTTTTACGTCTTGCTGAGAAGTGTGGCAACTTTAAGTCATGGACTTGCGTTGAAGACTGCGTGTTAATTGATCTATCAGTACATCTCTGACAGACAGTGCACGGTTCTTTGAGCTCTTTCACTTCCGAGGTAACTTCTAAAGACAAGCATTACAATTTACAAACAAGAACCATTTTCAT